TGTGAACCTAAACTTTGCTGTTCTAAAGTGAAAGCATTTTCAAGTGAGTCGAGGTTATGTTCACTAAAACAACGATAGTAAATCAAATTATTACAGTGAAAATTCTTGATGTGTTTGACTTGGAGCATTTCGAAGACAATTTCTGACATTTCCTTAACAGTTCTGCCTTTCTTAGAATTTATTTTACCAGGCTACCAAGCTTACTCGACTGGGTCGGGGTGGGTTCCCTGTCGTAAGGTCACACGTCACTCCATAAGAGTTAATATTGCGGTCTAAATCTCGTGATCTATTGCTTAATGCACTAAATTACGCAACGTTGTTTTTACCTTGCACAACTTCTGAACTGCACATAGCTCACTCTACATCAGCGAATTATCTAGTTGTCAGCCATGCCACATGTTGGTCAATCTATAGAAAGTAATCGTAAAACCCAAGAAGCTCCCTTTCGTCGCAGATCATCTTGGATGCTCCTCTGTCCATCGCCACTTAACATTGCGATTTAGCATCGCATGTTGGTTACCTTACTGGGTCTATTGCTTCGTTATGATGTGACCTGCTTCACTAATCAAAAATTTCCTAGTATCTCACAGATCGTCAAAGCAGTTATCTTACATTAATGGCATTCCAAAAACGACTTTGTTGATAATCGTGCGTTTGCTCATACCATTTCATAAGGAAGTGGTGTCTCAAGAATACCCATGGAAGAAAGTAACCATTATCAAGGTGTACATCAACTTCATTCAGCCGCAAGTCTAGCGCACTTGTTACGCCATCAGCTTCCAGTCACTCGGGTTTACATTGGCAAGATTACATTGTAGCTATGTTGCTGTTGGTTCCTTTTGGTAACCACCACCACGTTAAAGGCGAGCACGTTAAAGCTGATGAATCGCCTCTCATAGGTATTTGAATCCCGTACGTGTTGACATATTCAGTGTCAGTACGCGTGTCGGAGCCAGGTTGGAGGGTTGGAACAGGATGAAGGGGATGACGGAGTTCAAGTCCGGATACAATGGCGCAGTTGCAGAGTGCACGTTAGGATGATTCATCTTAAGGGTCATGGACAGTGTGTGGGGGTGATAGGTGAAATCCAAACAGTGTTTGTTACAAGTGCGTGACCGTAGCCGCGACGTATAGAGTCTTGTTATGTTTGTAGGTTGAATATCAGTGATGGTAACAATCTGTGCAGTGTTTACCCATGAAAGTCTGAGCAAACTGTTTGAATTGGGTCCAGAGTAAGTGATGCGGGAATGGATACTTAGGGTGTACGGACGGTTGGCCTAATACAGCCCTTATACACCCCGGTCGGGAAGCGCCCGCGTTTGTATGTTGATATGATACTTGAAATTTTCTTCACAGTGGCTATTCCCTTAGGCAATATGAGAAGTGCGAAAGAAGACGAAAGTTTTAGTCTATTAATTACTCAAAATGGTATGTCCGTAGAAGGAGGGTTAAAGTGCGATTCCACTGCCTGGTTTCTGTCCTATACATTGGGTAGCCTGACATTTCTCCATCCTTACCTAAGCCTGGTATCAGACCTATAAAGATGGCTAAAACTACACTCAAACAAGCATAACCCATTATTTGAGAGACAATCCTTTTTTCTCCGGTTCCTGAGCTCGCAAGTAGTAGAAACTCTGAAAATAAATAAGATAAACTTAATTGAACCTCAGCTGAACCGAGGTTGCAACTAAACACATCAACAAACTGCCACAAACGTGCGCCAACACTTGATGCAGACTGCGTAGCAAAATCATGATAATACTCAATGCAGACGGATTATCACAATTTGCTTGAAATGCAAACAGTACTTCTAACATTGGCTTGGTCGTAAACCGCAACTCGTGTCATTGACCAAACTCCATTCGTTATAAATCAGACCTCATCCGTGCTTGACCTCTTCCAGTTTGTAGGTGCGGGAGAATGCAATCGACTGATGACTCCTCGCCATCGCATGTGTCCTAGTGTAGACAATATCAGTCTGCATGCGTTAAAATTAGATACGTTGCACTCTGCTGAATTGTCTTCTCCATTTCTCCATCATGGCCGAAAAGGTAGCAGGGCCCACTATTTGAAAGGATGGACCCCTCTGGAACTTTTCCAGAAAATATATCTTGCTGAATTCACAAATTTTCCCATGAAATGCCTAAGTCATGTCTCCTCTCATAGCACATTGCGTCACGGGGAGGCACGCAAAATAGCCGTGTGGCGCAGTGTTATGCGGTGCCCGAAGACGTTACATACGGAAAATTTGCTGACAGTTGAAATAAATTGAACATACGCTGTATTTGTTGCTGCTTCTTTATTTTAAAGCATTCAATGTCATAAGTCTCCTGGAGATTAATAATCACTCTATCACACCGCTGGAATTCAAGCTCAACCTTTGCGCCACGGCTATCACCCACTAAAAATTTTGAATCTCATCATCTCAAACCGTTTACTCGATTCTGCTGTTCTCTCGATGTGGCTGACTGTCATGACTGCCAGCAATCGTAAAGCAATGCAATGAGATATTTACATGGTTTACGTTTGGTTCCGCTAGACAGTAACTTACTTTACTATGGTGAATTTAGATGATGGGCAGCGCCATCACAAAGCGCACCAGCGACACTTTGGCTTAGAACATTTTGTGGTGGGACCTGAGAGTGGCTTCCGAGATTATGTAGATTTCAGAAGAAATCGTTAGTGGGGAATGCCTCACTGAACATGTCTTTACTTCAGATACACTTCCGTGGATCAGAATAGTCGAAATGCGTCCCAATGTGGCCCGTAATCTAAATATCAGGCGGGTGCCTGGTCTGAACTTCAAAACCAAGTACATATGTGATTATGATTGATTTGTATTAGGCAGATCAATGCGAGCTCCTTATGTAGACTCTGGCAGCATACACTAATCGAACCGGATTTCTTCAACTGTTTCTGGTAGGGGAAGAGACGAAAACCGTTAATGCCTTTCAGTACCCAATGTTGTGGGGTCTCGGATGTTAGGGTTTGCACATTACCCAACTTTTCCAGGTAAGAATAGCATATTGGATTTAGGATGCACGTAAGCTTGGAGAGCTCTAAACTCATGAGTTGCGTCTGCAAAAGAAAGACATGTTATGTTCATCTATTGAAACGGTAATTGGCAAAGCACATTGAAGTCTCATCCCCATGATGTTGTCAACAGGCTTTGCTCTCAAGGCTTTCAGTAGTGGGCAATTCATCGGCCTACACGGACACTTAGGCGTCTGCTCACAGAGAAGGTAGCGGCTTCCATGCTGTCCAATTCGAAGGCTCATCAGTAACACACTTTGTGATTTCGTGTTGTTCTATCAATTGAACACTCACCACATTTTGAAATAAGTGGGAGTGAAAAAATTAGGACATGTACGCTTGTCAGACTGTCAGTGAAATGTACGAGCGAGTGAGACGCCGGTACCGAACATGCTTGTGCCTGACTGCCGTTAGATGGGGTATAGATGCCAGGATCCAACCTCCTACACTTATTCAAATTATAAGTACCAATTCCATTCACAATGAATTCAACAACACTGCTATTGTAAATATCGTTTACTATGGTCCAGGCTACGTAATGTCTCTTTGAATTTCTGTAACATTATCAACCGCCTGAGTCCAAACGCTGAGTGTAGTTAACATATTAGTGTTACACGATCGGTGTTGATGAAAGCCAGACAACTATTGCGTGCTTATACCATCTCAAGGCCCATCATGCTATTACTACAGCAGAGGAACACAGGGCACACTAAGGCGAACTCGAATGAGCCTAAATATTCACCTACCAGAAAGTTTTCCAGCTCAAACAGACAATGTACACCTTTTAGCTAGTTCATCAATGCACGCAAGATTCCAAACGTGAACTAGAACTATTCATCATGTTTCCAGGGAACAGAATCATTGCTTAAATCTTCAGGATGAAGTCGGCTGATCGAAACGCGTTTTAACCCACTGGTCGCATGCGCAGGGTGAACGGGGATTTCGAATCCTTCATTATTCGGCTTATGTTAAATTCTTATGTGACACTCCATATGGATTGACCATGGAAGAAACACCTTGTTGATGCACTTCAGTCCCCATAAGGCATAGTGACCGTAAAACATAATGGTCTGCTTCATCGCTCTTACCAGCTGCGTCTAAACAACTTTCCAAAGTAGAGTGGTAAGGGTCGCCGTCTACGAATCGATCCCAAAATATTTTGTCTCATACTCATATACCCGCGATCTCTTGTAACTCAACATCAGCAAAACCGGAGAGGCCGTAAGGCCAAGCAGTTAACGAACTACAATGGAACTAATTGTATTTAAACTCCCCCCTCCTCCCCGCCACAACAATCCTGCAAATCATATCAATGTTGTCTCTTATCGGCCAGTGCCAGATGGGACAAGGCGTAATATAGTGGTAAGAAGTTCGAGTTTGCATAGGTGTAGGCGACCTCACAATTTCCTTAGAAATCGATCGGGTGCTGGTGATCGCGTGGCGGCGAAGCATCGGTAGGGCGTCATGATTTACCGTTGGTACCTAGCCGCTGCTCATCGGTTAGCATTATTCCATTTGCATCATGGGATCCAATCAGTTTCATTTGGAGGATGAAGCAACCCAATCTGGTTTGCTCTCCATACTTGCCCGTGATTTTGTGGCAACAAACCAGCTAGCTTCATGTGAATCGTTTTAGAGCAAATCAAAAGTATAATTCTCCCCATCACTTGCGACTTCGGCTGTTTAGTGATTAATCCGTCCGCAATCAATGCTTGTGAAACAATCCCTAGTTTAGGCGTGATAACTCGGCTTTTTGCGCCAGAAATACTTCTGTGGTGACCTTAGTAAATACAGGAATATCGATACCAGGCGGTTATTACCAAGTGCAGATAGAAGTAAGGTCTTGTGAATATACGGATAATCTAATTTTTGCCTTGACTGGATTCTGATAACACTATAATCAACAGTATTATGAGACCTAGCAGACAAATCTTGTGAAAGCAATAAGATCATGGCATTTCGCTTACTTTATCTCACCGCCGAATTCAATTACTGGTTTGACGATTCCATCCTCATCTAATGGCACACAGGTCTTCGAATTGTATGTTTCTCTAGATTCCACGCACTCAACTTGGGAAAAAACCAGCGGATTCGTTTGGTAGGTTTTGTCTACCTCCTCTTGTGCATCGTTGCCAATGTAGAACTGGGGAAGTACACAGGCGAAGCAACATGTCGTTCAGAAATACCACAACTATTTTTTTAAACAATGCGGCAAAATGCAACATGATACGGCTATTGTTTGACAATTATTGGGTAAGTTAAAAAGTAACCGTCTGATTACTCAACTAGCTCCACTTTTATGAGTCATTTTCATCATACCTGTATTCTACGTTTGTAAGTATTTTTGAAAGCATGATTGTGTAGGTGCACTAATCTGAGAAGCGAGGGCTTGCCGGTAAGGTTGAGATGGTGGCACACGCACACCATAAGATTAGCTGGCTCTGTCATAATCCAAACGATAAATAACATGCTGATGGACGATTGCTGGGTCCCAAACTAGTGTTCAAAATGTATAGCGCTGTTACCTCTGTCGGTAGTCTACCGAGGATGTTCAGCTCTATTTGATGCACATGCATAAGTGGAAATCGTGAGGCTGTGCAACTGCATAGTGTATTCACTGCATATGGTATACAGTGTTATCTGATAATGTTGGGTGCATCTACTCACCATCCCAGCCTTTTACTTTGAATTAGTTTCATGGTTAAACAACGTCTCCACGACTACGTTCATCAGTTCATCTCCTTACCCCGTTGTTACCTGGTCGCACATTCTGCCAGTGAACGGAGGTTACTAGACAACTCCCATTTTTTTACCTTCCCTCACTAGTTAAACAAAACTTGAAAGAAAACCATTGGTGCACACTAATCTTTTACTTACGTCGATTCTATAGACTAGTGCCCAATATATTTGCCATAACTGGTAGTTATCATTTATCTAGTAGTACACACATAGCGCTGACCTACATCAACTTCAATAACTCGTTCGACAAATTAAACCATGAGGTCCTCATCCATAAATTGAGAACGCGAAGTTTGTTGGCTCATCTCGTTGGTCCCGAGTCTCTTGTTGGACTTAAGTGAAGGGCACGTGTTGACGCTCACCTGACTGGTGCCCAATACTTGCGGCGTATCCCGTTGCATGGTGCTGGAACGTACTCTGTTACGGATCCACATCAATGATCCACCTCAGTTTCTTAAGTCGTCGAGTTCCGTGCTCACCGTTTACCTGAAGACATGGTGAGTGGTTAGCAGCCCCGATGACTGTAGCCGACTTCAGCAAGGTTTTAACCATCTCTCCATGTGATCTGCGTATTTCCGCCACCCGATCAATTCAACAAACTCTGTGCTCATTTGTCTGGGGAAGGGTGGTGTCTACCGAATCCGCCTCTTTGATGACCAAAAGTAATTTTCTATAATTTCCGTGGAAGAGCGAAGCATAGGCTAATTTGTGATTTGAAGTTCGTGAACAGCACGAAAATGTCGTAAGCAACGGGCAGCACTCGCTTTGTTCTCTCAAACAGCGTCTGCAATTGGTCTGAAAAGGTCGCCACTTTCTTCTTCTCCTACAAACTAAGAGCAATGCTAGTGTATGGCTGGCCGCCTACTTCCATCACCAAGACGAGGCGCCGAATATTGAACTTGTTTAACACGTAGCTACCATGCTTCCGGAACGGGGCTTGCCGTACGGGGACAGCCCTGTTCGGATGGATTTCACCGTTACCGCGTTTTTCACCTCATTTACTTTCACATACTGAGACCTACGCTCCAAATGAGAAAGTCACGCAACAGTCATAAACACCGGTCCATACTTCCGGTGCCGGATCTGAGGCGCGTTCCACACGTCTGCCTGCCAGACGGTGGGTAGACCAGATTGCCACAAGATACGGATACCAATTTTTCAGCAGTTCAGTAATTTGTTGGATTTACACATCCCCATTTATCAATTTAGGGAACGATAGCGCATTGTCAATATATCACATATGTGAGCCCTGTGATGTTGTGAGTCAGACGTCCTTAATTGCTAAGGTAGAATATGGGAATGATTCGAGCGTTAATCAGTGACAGCTACATTTTATAACATCGTTGATAATATACCGATACAACTGGATTTATTTAATTTTCTACGCATTCCCACAATATCTTATTCATTATTCAGCATCCTAGAAACGTTATATGAGATATAAATTAGAACAATAAAACAATGATGTGTTACGGGTAACAATGTATTCCCGTGGGATGGCCAGAATGATAATCCTAAAATAGCGAAGGGAAACTTGATGATAAAATAAAATGCCTTGTTGCTAAACTCATCGTAATGTTCACATCGAGGCATGAGTAAATAACTTACCTCAGTTGCATAGAAAAAGTTTGGTTAGGGCAACGCTTGTCTTCTCTATATGTCTTCTCTATATGTATACCTGCTGTATTTCATAATTTAGGTGGGTTTGGGGAACGTAAAGGCGTTTTTAGCATAACTTATCTGGAGGTAGACACGAAGCAGTAGTGAAGGGAGCTCCATGGCCGGCATGAAGGAAGTAAAAGCTTCGACAATATTCAACCCGACTGTATTGCATGGCCTAGTTGAACCGGTGACCTCTCAAGTTCGTTTTGTGACTAAGTTGCAGGAATTGACTATAAAGGTGGTTTTGGTTCCCCAGAATCGGGTAGATTATTTTTAAATCGCCCCATAAGCGCCGAAAATTACTGCAGTGCAATATTTGTGTACACAGCCTAGGTTGCTACAGAAGGTTGAACGATATTTTGACGTGCATGGTGGCTCTTCCACATGGATTCTCCAGTGCTGTGAGACCTGGCTTGTATCAGATCTGTCAGGCCTTACTCGCGTTTTCTACCTAGTGTCCACGTATGTTTAATCAGCTGTAGACAAAAAGAAGGTTCAATCCTCCTAAACATCAGCCGTTGAAGACCAACTTGTTGGTTGCCGGTATTGAAGCATTTTCAGCTTGCTTTGAGAGACCGAAGTCAGATCTTATTTGTACCCCGAGGTCTAGCTCATGTGTGACCGCATGTAGGACGTACTCTCCAACCTTCCATATGTGGTACGACTATTCGCGACTTTATATCGCCCTACATTTGATCGTATTAAACTCAGCAGCATGCGGGAGGACCTTTAATACTCGCCGTGCAGGTCTCGTCGAATTGTATTGTGATCCCCTTGTTCGACCATCGTCTCCCATGCCTTGACATACTAAGAAAAAATTAAGAAAGCCGAGTAAGAAGATTCGTAAGCTCTTAATGAATAATTCCACGAACAGACCTTGCTGCAGCAATAAAGTTTGTGCTACATGGCACTTGGCGTGGCTCGGATATGGCAGTGTGCATCGAAAGGTAGTCAACACTGCCGCGGGAAATTATTGATACACCCCTGGACAGGATCCCCGTGTAGGTAGATTTCGAGTTTGTGAAAAAACTCGCCGGTCCACGTAAACGAAAGCTGTGGAGAAGTCTAGTTAAATGACATCAATCATTGTGTCTACCGCATCCTCCCGTCTGCCACACGCAAGTAGCAGTATGGTTGCGTATGATTGGTGCAAACGGAAACCGGGCTGCTCCAGTGCTATGGTGTTGCAATTCTGCATGGGGGACTAAAGCCCCGACGACATTTGCTTCTATAATTTATACAGAACACGGTGTCGTGTATCGAACGACTGCCACTATTAAAAGTGGACGTGATAAGACCAAGTTTCGTTATGGCCCGTAGCCTAGAGTTAACGAGTTTATCTCGTAATTATGCGGCGCGGTTTCGAATCTGCGTAGGAATGGGTGTCCCTGCGGTATACTCAGCCCACGTGTGACTGGTGGTGATCGCACGGCAGCGAAACGCTGATACGGCGTACAGCTAACATAATATATTATTAATCAAAGTAATATTGAAAGAAGAATAATAACAAAAGAGTTCGGAGAAAATGCCCACAGGAATGTAAAATACGCGATTGCAAGGAGATTTTGTCGCGGTAACTCACATCTTCCCGTGCAAATTGAGCTAGTTCAAACTTTATGCCACTTTTGTTTCAACTGCCATTAGCTTATGCCTATCCAACGTATCATTGTAAACGTATTTACCTTATGTGAGTTGCCGAAAAGAGATCTCTTTGTAACCGCCTATTCTAGGTTCTTATGGGCATTATCTAGGAGTAGAAAAAGGACAAGCAGGCTGCAATGTTTACTAGCCTCAACAAATGCTTGTAGTTTAACGCTAGCCTTGCAGAAGCAAAAACAAAAATTAGATGTACACACGGGTATGTGCAACGCCATCAATATCCCAGATCCTGCTGGAAATCTCGAAGGCAGTGTCATGTACGTCCGACTACAAAGTCCCCTAAAGGACACGCTTACCGTCTAATGGAAGCAGTAGAGTCCCGAATACCAGAGGTAGAGCGACTTTGTGCAGTTAACCAACCTAGAGTCGAATATATTTTACCACTCAACGAGTCGCTTTTAAGCAATAGATGAAAGAAAATTGCTCAATGGTTGATAAAATAAGACACTTGTAGCTTCAAAAATTCTTTCATCCCGAGTAAATCAGAACAAACATTTCCACTGAATCTAGAATGATATGTATGCATCCTATCCAATATCCCACGGAATCAGTTGCAGCCTAAAGCCTAATCTCTCGAACCGAAATTTTGCTTCACCAAACTGACTTGCGGTCAAGTCCACCCAGCTTGCAAACTTAATGCACCCATATTTTTCTCCCGAGATTCATTTGAGACCACATTGGCGCATATCTGTAAACAGCACCTACGTTACGATAACTGGTTGTCTAACACCCTGAGAAAAAAACCACAGGAAATCAACGAATTACGATCGAATTTTGAATTTATTCTTTTTATACCAGACAAAGGATCGGGATGGGTGTTAATGGACAGATCCGATTATGTCGCAAAATCTAACATTAGTTTAAAAGAATTGAGCAAGCTCATGCGTGCGACAGTGTAGTAGGGCAGGACGGCAGAATATAAAATTACGAAAGGCTTGAAGGCCTTAAGACAGCTGCATGTGACAAAGTAGCCTTTAGTTGATCGATTTAACTCCGTTGGCTCTCAGCCCCTAGGCTTTATGGTTTGCCTAAAATACAGAAGCTGCATTTCTGCTTACGTACTATAATGGATATATCGACTTATGCTTTCCAACCCGTAGCAAAATGGTTTGTCGAATTAATGGACCCAGTGCGTAACTAACTATCCATACACTCTCTATAAATACGTTTGTTTTCCTTGAAAAAATTTAGACGGTATAGTGATGCTCTCATTTGGTGTGGCATCTATTTTCGCCAACTTTCCGTTGTTAGAGACCATCAAGTTTGTTTGAGGATGTATAATTGAAAAACAAATGAAGCTTGGTATTCCAGTGCCGAAATTGAAGGAAATAATTCTGCGATGCACCTTTAACAGATAGTTCTTACTTGATGGAGTCTATTATCGGCAGATGAACCGAGTTGCTATGGGTCCGCCCTGAGGACATCTCGTCTACCTCTTCCTCGCAAAGTTTGAACGTGGTCCTATTCAACCTGTTATTTCTTCACTGGATTTCCACTGTAGGTAGATGGATGACACGCTTGTTCTCTGTAATTTGAGCGCCGATTTAGTTGGCTTTCTCGATCAACTCAACGGTGCACACCCATCATTGAAGTTCATCAACGAAAACAAAAAAGCCATCTTTTCTTGACGTACTACACTTGAGACGACGACGTGGCTCTCTAGAGAGAAGCGTCTTGTAGAACGATTCGTGGGTTGGACGATACAGGCACATTCTGAGTTTCGTGCCTCTGAGACATGAAGGTAACTTATTCTGCTGCATCTATTATCGAGCCTCAAAAATCAGCAGACCTGAGACGTTAGCAGACGAGAAAGAAAGCATATTTAAAACGCTACTCTCAAACCGTTAGCCCTCCTCTTTTATCAAAAAACGCGATGGACTTTGTGAATGCAGTGAAGCTGTCATTATATTTCCAAAAAAGATGTGGTGCACACGGTTCTGTGTAAGTATGAAATCGCTTTTGCTCTACTGAATCGAAGGCTATAAGTGGTATGGGGATTTATTGGACTTTCCGTTGCAGTGACAACAACCTACGCTGCCGCAAATCAACACTTGCTTACTGAGACCACTTCATTTACTACACATCGCCTTGAAGAGAGACTACCGTCTAAGCCCGAATCGTACGTGTTATATCAATTTACTTCAATCTGCGGTACAAGATACCTCGGACAAACCACCAGGCGTCTGTCAACACAGATAGCTGAGCACTGTCCCGGGTCTCTAAGGAAAGGCGCTGCCGAAAGTATCAGAAGTGACATCCTTGAACATCTGGTTCAAAGTAGACATGAAATTCTGACCAATGATGCCTTCAGCGTTTTCTGCACTGTGCCAAAACGAAATCCTAAGGGGCTTAAGAGACCCCTCCTTAAGACTGCGGAATCAATAGCCATCAAGATAACGCAACCCGAGCTTTGCAAGTAGAGGATGCTATTGCAACCTCTTACGTTGCCCTGGCCGTGATGAGGATCCATCCGCATGGAACATTGATAAGACTGAGGGTGGAATCACTTCTCGGCTGGCTCAATTTGCTTAGCGAAGTGATCAGCGAGCTCTGTTAAGTGGGGTCAACTAAGTTCAGTTCTCATCGACAACATCGGCTCCACCACTTGGCTTGATCACGTTAACTTCCGTTCGAATGAACTAAGCAACTTCAAATTCTCCCACTTTAGTTTCAGCTTTCAGCAACTTATGCTTATCCAAATTATCCTTGTAAACGTATTTGCCTTATGTGAATGTCGAAATTATAGGTGTAGCTGATAGGATCAGCGTCTTCGATTAAGTAACATCGAGTCCAGGAGAGTTTCATTTCGAATCAGAGCAGTTTCCCCAAAACAGTTGAACTGATTAACGTGATGTGTGTATGTGAAAATTTTGGGCGATGGGTTCTGGCATGCAACTGTGGCAGATGTCTGGTATATTCCATCCTTCGAGTATTGGTTGAACTTTCAGCGAAATGTGCCACTCCGATGTTCGTATTAAATGGCAGTATATCGTACTTTATTTTTTATTCACTACTAACGTGCATGTGTTGTAGCTCCGTCCTGAGGCTGTTGTTCATACATCCTACTTCTTCATCGCAGTTAGAGGGAGTTCCATGGCGGGCCTGAATATAGAAATAGTCTTGACAACGTTTCTACTCCGACTTACATTTAAGCCACTTTTCATAATCCGGATAAGCGTATTCCAATTTAAGTGATTTGCTTAATTCTGTTATTCGACTGCATATTCCGTGTCCATTGTGTGTGTACTTTTCTTCAAATTCTGTGCTGTTTGTTCGAAATCCTCGGCACGGCTGTGCATGTTGTTATTGTTGACTGGGTGCTTACCTACCTAATACCCTTCACCACGATAACTGGCCCGAGGAGACCGCTAACGCACGCTGAAGCACGGGTTGCACGGTCCTCGTGACTGCGCTAGACTCAAACAGCTGTTCCATCTAGTGTGGGATGGACTACGTCCCAGCCACCACCTTGCGTACATCTGGTAAGCATTATTCCTAAATTAGATAGACAGGAATCCTGCTGCTGTGCATGTTGAAGGAGTGTGAGCTGGCTCCGTTGATGAAGCGTGGATCCTATACACATGCCACCCGGTCTTATTCATTCAAGTCTGCACTAGATATGGTGTGTGTAGATGGAGTAGCGCAAACCATTTATAGTTATTTTGCAGGCACAGGCGTCTTGTGTTTGTCCTGCGGATGTCGCATTAACAGGCAAATCCAGAACCGGATGCGGCCAAACATAGTAGATTTGTTGTTTTCAAAAGATTATAAGACAGGTATTGTTAGTGAGCAAATTTGTCCTCATGGACAAGCATAGTAAGTAATTGAGATAAGCCACATACCTGCTGAGGTTTCTGCACAAGTATTGGCTCTGTAATTATTCGAAACTGAAGTCCACAAAGTCAGCGTTTTCGAGTTCTGTTCCTGATGTAGTACAGCTGTTTCGTAGAAGCAACCAGGTTGATTGCTGAAGAAGCTATAACCACTGGAGAGCCATTTTATAGTACACGTTTTGTGATTAGACTGCGATAGGCAATCTCAGTCTAGACTGCGATTCATATTGTAATGAACTTTGGTCACTGAGATCATAGGGAACGTAGCCAAAGTAGATGAAAATTAGGTGTTTCCCGCCTGAAGGCGCTGCGCCTCGCAATCCAGTCACACAACGTGTACATCGAAATAACCCTCTACTTACTCATCAACCGTTGTGCCAAGCATTGCCCGTCGTGACCCGGTAGCAAAAGGGTTATATGTCTCGGTTACTACTCTAATGGTCGCGGGTTCGAGGTTTGCTATTACCACCTGTTGACATCATATCAGATCGAAACGCGTCGTGGTTGTACAGTGTTTTCGGGCGGACAACACCCAATTTCCATCACCTACGGTCATATTGTTGAAACACCCAACAGACTATCTCCAGGCACGGTTACGGGAGCAAAATGGTAGAATGCTCAATCGGCTATCACAACCAACTCTATCACGAATCCGTACTCCGTGATGGAGAGCGTTGTTTCTGTGATTTCCTCGGGTATATCCTTTAGGATAGTTAAGGTTACTAGATCACTCATTTCTGATTGGTTGTCGCTCGTTTACTTGTCGATCATACTTCCGTATTTTTCTCTATATTGTTCTGAATCGATGGCTTGTCATATTTTTGTACCTGGTAGCTGATTTGATTTGGTCCTACAATGGAATATTTTAAATAAAATCTTGCACTCCGGCTTTCAAAGCTTTATTACAGGAAGCCAAGTCGTCCAGGTCCCCTATATTGAATTCACCTGTGTTAAGAAAGTGGCTGTGAGTTGAAAGCAAGTTTTCTCCATGCCGAAATAAGGTGAGAATCCCCTTTTCCAGCGGACAATGGGGCTACAAATGACTGACACCACCATTTGCTATCACAGCAGAAACGCAAATGACAACATGGCATGTCGGGGATTTTAGTCCGCAGATCAGTCACTAGCTAGCGTTGTAAGCCGTTGTGATAATAGAGGAAAACGTTACTTTCCATGCTAGGTGGGTTTCAGTTTCCATAACATATTTTGGAGAATAGATTATGCCGACCGTTTTATGGTCAGCTACTGATGGCTTTTTAGTGTTCTAGGTGATAGGTTGGATATTGAATTCGGTGGCGTCATACTTGGCTCCCTATTAGCAGATTTTACGCACTGCAAGGTGTGTGGCTGCATGATTATGTAGAATGCTACTCGCTTTCTTCAGATGTGTTGCCAGAATGAGCTTCGTATAGGATTTCCGTTTCGATTGCTTGACAAATTGCGCCTTACTACTGGTGACTATGTCATTTGCCGCTTTGAAGCGGCGCTCAGTTGGCAGTGCCATCTGCTTGGTTTGAAACAGGTTGGGCGTCTTCGTCATTCCCTTTCCTAATGTTTTAATATCCAAAATAAGCTTTGAACCATTCATAAGACAAATATGATCTTTTGAACATAACAGACCGTGGGATCTTTTACTTTACTCGTTTTCTTAGGCAATACATAGAAAGTAAGGAATCAGTAAAGGTATAGAAACTGCCACTTTATGCTGCATAGCAGCAATTAAAGCAATATAAACCAAGTGAACTGGCACTATAAACCATATGACTTCGCTTAGGCTTTTAAAATAAATTCGTATTGAGGTAATAAATTAAAAAATTAAGCATAGATAGATTATGAGGAAGTGTTTGAGAGTTATCTTTGAAACTTACTGGGTTCTGCATATCATTGGCAACGGAGTGACCAAATGTGTCCAGTCTTTAAGAGAAAAGATGATTACACAGCAGCAACATTGATATCGGTAAAGATTTCCGAACAAAATCTCACATTGTATGAAATGTGTATATATACATCGCTGTATTTCATTTGATACAATTGTTTGTGCTGCAAAATGTGTAACAAAACCATATTTTATACTCTGGTAGAGAAATGTATCTTCTGACAGATGTTTTCGAGCATAACGAAGTAATAAGCTTAAAAAGTCAAGCAGCACGGTGCCAAACGTTATTCTTTATGGCCAGTTCGTTGAAACTGGACTCGTGCGCAAACCCGTGGATGGGTAATCATGTACTCAGTCTATGCCACAGTGAAAATTTATCAGCGGACAATGTTCAGTGCTTTGTTTGCAGTCATGAACACTGCAATCTGCCTGAGCAATTTGCAGTCTCAACGCAAGGTAACCGATCTTCAAAACTCCCTACTCTCCAGATTTGGCATCCGCAGATTTCTTTTTGCTTCACCGCCTTAATTGAGCCATACAAGGCTGAAGGTGCACAAGCGTTGCGGAAAAGCAAAAAAAAGCGTGACCACAATGCTTCGAGAGATTCCACGAGAATCGTTTGCTGACAGCTTCAAATAGCTTTAAAACAGTTGTCATAAGTGCTGTATCCAATGGCGATTATTATGAAGAGTAACAAAGATATTTTGCTCTCAACTATTGTTTCCTTTAGCTTCAGACATCATTCATCAAACTTATAAGACGCATCTTGCACATGGCTATAGTTGAAAATAGTATGTTGATTCAAATGGAAATAATAAAGAAATGTTGTATAAATATTTAATTTAGGTCAGTAATATTATACTGGCTTTGATGGAAATTTTAAATAAAATTTTCTGCAAGCTATTGGTGTAAATGTAAAGAACAAGTCGCTTTTTAGTAATTGTATAGTAATTATAAAAGTGGCGTATATTAAGAAAATTCTAAGTCATTCATTAGTTAAGATTAAAAAAATTTCTTCGATAACTTTCCAAATGTGTATGAATCAAATGTGCTGCCTGAACTATGTATTGAAATATGATAGGCGTATACACAGTAAACTAATTTTCACTTTGTGTAAGTACATTACGCGTAATTACTGATTTTGTTGACTAATTCTTCCAAATATTTCTCAAAAATATTTGCGATGTACTACCTAAACGTATACAGAACAGTGGATAATAAAATGACGATCTTGCTTGTAAGTTATACTCACTCTCGTTTTTTCATTAGTATGTGCTCGATATTTGGCCTGAAGTTTTGACTAAGCTTCAAATTTTGACTTTGGCTCAGGTGTATACCTGGCATTACGTAGCCACTGAGAACCCGAAAAAGCCAAATACCATTGAAGTTTAGACCTGTAACGAAACGAATTGAAGTAACCAGTACACGCAGAATGTTGTTTGCTCCACATTTCAGTTGGTTAAAGTATTTTGTAATGGGGAGTTACAAACTGAACTTCAGGATAACATTAGTAATGAATCATGTACCACTACAATTGCGCAACAGTAATCGGTATTTAAAACACTATTCTACAGCGAGAATTTGCAACCCAGAAAAACTTGAGCAAGAAGTTGGTAAACCCTACTAGATTTGAAGGTAAATGCTGCTTCTGATGTTAAAAGTTTGGAGTCTTTCCTCTTTAGTTACCAAATACTTTTTATGGGTTGCAAATTGTTCGTTTACTTGATGCACCCATCTGTTGTGTATCGATGTGTCCACACAGTAATCCGAACAATGCAGAATCCTGCATTAGACTTAACGCAGACCGCTACCATTTGTTCATCTGTTTTAACAGTCTGACTTGGTAGAGAGCTTGGTCAAAAATTACGGGGTCCAGACAGATATGCTAAACACCTTAGGTTACTGCGCTATTTTGGTCAGCGGACATGAATTTCATTGCCTGGTACACCACGTGAGATAACCTGAGTGAGCTTAACGGTTATTCTGGTGTTTTGATAGCAACATATGGGCGAATTTAAATCCAGGTTAAATTAAGCACATTTATATTCATAACAAGCCACATAAATCTGTCAAGCATCGTGAATGGGGTCTGGAGCACACATTACTTTCTTTATAGAATTTAAGACAGTGATAATGGGTGTGTGTGATTTTGGTTAGTCTGCTGACCCACTGTATAGAGAAATGATAAGATGATGTTTCTTGTTTGTCATCCGAAATATGATAAAATCGTGAATATATACTCCATACACTTGCAAAAGTTAGCGAGGAGAACAACCTCCAACTTTTGTTCAACATGTGTTGGTTATCATCACGATTTTGTTTGGCTTTTTTGTCATCACTTTCATACCGCCCATTCATTGAAGTTATTTGAGTTGCAAGGCGGTTCTTCTATTTCACACTCGAGTCTTTTTCTGATTTAGTGGTGTTGCACCTGCGTGTGTCCGCTGTGCTCCCCAGTTCACAATGCAGTATCAGGGGAGTTGAATAGTACGGGTAGAAATCCAGCAAATCTTAACTGAATTAGACAGTCATCACTGTACCGCTGTTTCATTCAAGCTGACCCTTGTAGAGCTCGAACCTGTTATTCGACTGTTGCCAGCGTGTAGTTGAATCCACGACTGTCCTTCCAAAGTTACTAGTTTAGATATAACGCCGCTCTCCATTGACTGACTTGCCCGTCGCTGCCGTGCAGAGGACTAGGTAACCTCCTCACTAAGCCGGTGAGGAACAATACGTGGAGTTATGATCAGTTATCAGTTTATATTGAATCTGAAGCGAAATTTGAATTCGCACTTTTTACAGTTTGAAATTGCTCGTGCTCCGACGGCGAGTATTCTCTCTAACGTCCTTGTGTTACCTCAAGAACCGAATCCCTTTAGTGACACAAAGATCTACAGATCTGCGTATTTGTACTTCGAGGGGCAACGAACATCCTTTATAGAGGTTACGCCTCTTAACTTTTGTTGCGGTAAAATATGCAAGGAGTTTGCTCCTTATGCTCCTTATCTAAACTGACAGTTATTCTCTAATTTAATCGACTACATTTGTTTGATAAACATATAAGTAAATAAAGGATTCATGAGCAAAGTTGTGGTGGTTATGAGGTGCATGCTGTATTTCTGTGGTCGAACAGGTCTGTTAGTTACGATAGCATATTATACGGACTAAACCATAGGGAAATTAGTGAAGCGCTGTTCTCCGACGCATGCAGGTCTACATTTTCGTTTAACTTTTACCACACCCTAGGCTACTTTTCGCAAATTTTACTACCGCGTAAACAATTTAAGTTTGGTAAACATTAAGCGAATTTCCATGCACACGATGTACACTGGATAAGTGAATTACAGGTCAGAATATAATAATAATCGTCAGACCGATGAACACGCAATCGTTATTATTGCCAATGTATTTCAGAAAGTGAGAGAGCAGTCGAATTATGAGTTTGAAATGTTACTGGGTTTTATTGAATTGCCCTGTTAAAATCCCTTTGCCTAACCATATCTGGTAATACTATTTGTTGTACGCACACACAAGTAGGACAATGCATCCCCATTATTTTGTCAAGCTTAGTTATGCCATATTCTGTTTGGATGATTGCAATAATATCTTCGCTCCTTTCTGTCTCTCATGAGCGGAAAAGCACTGTACTGTTTCTGTTTGGTTATTCTTTGAGAGAATTACAACCGTTCCAGTTGCAATTGTATAGCATGGTATTGGTTTTATCAATAATATCCGTTAATATTTGACTTATATTGCACTCTCCCAGGCGCAAATCTCCCGAAAACAATATGGATGTATTAATATTGATGTATAAAGTTAGGTTATTAATAGATAGACTATGAACTGTTACCTACATGCTAATCGATAAACCATTGTAGATATCTGCCAAGCCGTGCTGTTTACCCAAAACCGTTAACCACATAAACGGGATTCCTCCACCAACATGCGTTTGTTGGATGTGTATACATCAACACAGAGATTGCTTTCAAATAGAGCTTCCGGCGATCAACAATAACACGAGATATGTCTTACACATAGCGCTCAGGTTGTGAGATGCCTGCGATTTAAGCAAATTCTAGTATAAAACGTAGTAGTCAAAAAGGAAAATATCCTGCATTAAGGGTGTTTTCTTTGTGTGCAGGCTGTCTCTGAACTACAATCAATCTATATCTAAGCCCGGACGTTATTTCATATCGCGTAATTAGATTGTTACATGAGCTTTTCTATCATTGCCATTCGTCTCTCATTATCCTGAGATTATAAAATATATACAATGGGCCCAAACGTACCTGATAGGTGACCTTCGAATGCCTCTGAAGACACTGAAATAGGTTTACCTTTTCCTTGCTGCACTTCAGATGAGCCAACCTGAATCGTTTTGAGCTTATTAAAATGCTTCCCCTGCCTTCCTAAAATGAAATTTGTTATATCTGTAAGCTGCATAATTCGAAATGGCATATTTGTGTCTGCAACAACAATAAGTTTAACACCAACGGGTTGCTTCCAAAAATTTGATCTCATACATTTTGGATTTATTTCAAACATCGCATAATTCCGGAAAGTATGTCTTTGCATTTAGTTGCTGCTCCAAAATATTGTCCTTAGTTTGCGCTGGCTAATTAGTTAATATTTGATCAACCATTTTGCACAAGAGGGAGAGATATTGGTTGTGGCTGAGTACAAGATTTACATAACAATTTATATCTCTAAACTGAACTGTATGAATTTTGCAAGAACGCTCGATTTCAATGCGCCAAACTAATGTGCGCTTTCGATGTAAGCAGTTCTTTAAGCAGTTTTCTCGTTCAGAACTAGGTCATATTTGTGTTCAAGCTATTAATCATTTCAAGTTTTGTGATAAAACTTTTCTCACTCTCATACAGCCTGAGTTTGACCAGTGGAGCATTTCTTACTGCAGTATGCTTGACAGTTAAAATATTATGACAAATGTTCTACCGAACTTATGCGCGGTTGTTGAATAGCTCTATCTTCTCAAGACTAACAGCAACAAAATCTGTTTAATCGTTTCAAAGTGTTGTGTGTAAAATATTAGTTAAATCATAGATGGGAATTCTACTTCAGTATTGTCGATTTTAAAGGCTGACAGCTTTCCCGGTGGGTTTGTGCATTTCATTCAAAGCAGATTTTCAGTGAGAGCTCTCCGTATGTTTTTGTAAACTCACCTAAACAAATAAATAAAATTTATTTTCGACGTTTCGAGACAAGCCCTTATCGGCATTATCGGATAAGCGCATACTTTTATAGAACGTGATCGCAGGTGGGTCAGGGAAATAAAATCAAGAAGGACAGCGAATACATGATAAATGAAAAAACCCGTTGATACTTTTGCAAAATTAGTGTTCCACAGTGCAAGCAACTATTCCGGGTGGTAGCTTGTTCCAGACTCTGACGCATCTGTTAAGGAAAATTTAGCAAACCTGTTGGTGCTGAACTTGCACTCAGCCCCTGAGTTCTGTTTGCTTCGTGTGTCCTGGAACGCTACTTTTAGTAAAGTGATGTGTAGGTTAGAAACAAGTAAACACCTGTGCGAGATGTTGAAAAACACAACTAGGTTTGCGTCATGCGCTGTAGCCAGAGGGGATCAAGCTTGAGAATTTGACATAAAACAGAGTATCCTAGGTTTAAAGCAATGTCTAGGAGGCCCTTTGTGAATGTTTTCTGTACACGTTACAGTGCAGTGCGGTAGCGCTTTTTGAGCTGTTTATCATTCCTGTCAATTTATATGACCTGCTCATGTGTGTTTCAGAGTATTTGGATTTTTTTGGACGTTGGGAACCTAATTCGCATAATTTAATAGTTAGCCTAACCAGATAGTAAACGGGCAACACAAATATGTCCATTGTTTATGAACAGTGAACAATGATGAACGATGATTTCTCACGGGATAAAAGCAAGTGCTTGACACGTCCCGTAGTATGGTTGCGGTGAACATGATTAAATCAAAATATGTCCGGGTCATCTACGTAACGTCTGCCGAGATGAATACTTTGATACTTAACATCAGTGCAAATTGAAAAAAAGTTATCGAGCGTAAACGTTCAGAAAGACACTGGGGTGCACTGATCGTTGAGTTAAGGAGTGAAAAAAGTAAAATATGGTCGCTCACATAGGTCCATTTGATACACAAATCCTGTTTAAAAGCATGCTTGGCGTAATCCACCATAGAGGAGTTTAGATAACAAAATGCTGGGAGCTAAGAGCAACATCTAATCGTTTTTTTAAAAACGTCCAAGGTAGGAGAGGATACAACTGAGTCTGGGAGTGCCTTCCAGGGTTGGCAAACCCGAAGGGAAAAGTAGTTCCGTCGACACTCTAGACGGCTATATTGTTCCTTCAATTTCAAGCAATTACCTCTGAGCTGCGTGTTGTGGTTAAGTTTCAGCAAATGGCGGCATACATGGTTGGGGTCACTCATTATCTGATACGCTAATATGAGGTCCCCGCGCAGAGTTCGATAGTGTCCGCTGAAAATTCCCAGCAAATTCAGCCTTCGGTGGTAAGAGTGATATCGCAGGACCTTTAAATTCTTTGTTGCTGTTCGTTTTGGTGCCTCTAACGCCTCTAGTCGCGCTTCAACCAAGGTTGCCAAACTTGGATAACGTACTCAACATGCGGGTGTACGTAAGAATTGTGCATCATTGGGAAGATTGATGGGTCAAATCTCCCGAATGCCCTTCGCATCATGGCGACGTGCTGGTTGCCTCTTTTCGCAGCTACCTCAGCCCGTATTGAACAGTTGAGGTCACTCTGTACGATTACACCAAGGTCATGTTCCTGGGAGTTATTCTGCAATCCGTTTGTCCCAAGTAAATAGGTGTAGTTATGTCTATGGCGTAATTGTACAACGCGACATTTGTCTACGTTGAATGGTAGGGCGTTTTGAACTGACCAGTTCGACAGTGTTAAGATCGCACTGGAGCCGTTCATGGTAGTCCGGTCTTCTGATCCTTCGCCATATCTTGATATCATCAGCGAAAAATAGGAAATCGGAAGCAATTGATCTCGCCAAATCGTTAATAAACACCAAGAATAGAAGAGATCCAAGAACCGAGCCTTATGGTACTCCAAACTCAACATCGATTCCATCAGAAAATGATTCTCGGACTCTCACCACTAGCCGTTGTTCTTGTAGAAAATTGCCAATCTAACTCAGGATTGGGTCGCTAATGCTGTAATTCCGAAGCTTCATAAGGAGAATGCGATGGTCTAAGCGATCAACCGCTTTTGAAAAGTCTAGGTAGATGACATCAACTCCTACTCCATCATCAACAGCTTCAGTCCATCTATTATGTGCAATTAATAGGTTAGTATTACACGAATGCTTTTGACGAAATCCATGTTGCTCTGGGGATATTAAGTTGTGGATTACCAGGTATTCAATGGTTCAATGGTGTATGATGGGATAAAAAGCACAACTTTACAAGACCCACAGGATGGATATGCAAAAGAAAATTAAAATCAAAATGTTCCAACTTGGAACGTAAAGTATCAGTGGTTAAATCATTGCACTTTAACAAGGTGTTGTGTATCGTTTATCACTAAGATGAAAATCCAAGAGTCTTTCGAATGTCGTCATGTCTGGTGCGTTCACCACATAGTTTTGTAATGCATTCCAGTGAGAACAGATTCTAAGTGAGAAAAAATACTTTCTACAATTCAAACGAGGGTGTTGCGTCATTAGTTTCAGGTGGTTGCCTCGGTTTTGTTTGTATGGGGCTAGAATCAACAGTGATGTACATGGATGCTCGCTTTCGGTTAATATCCGGTATGTGAGAGTAAGATCTCCGCGAAGCCGTCGGTATTCTAACGAGAACACACCGAGTACACGAAGACGCATTTCGTAACTTATACCGGATAGTCCACGCGTTGCCTTTGTGGCTCTTCTTTGGGGCTGTTCCAAGAGGCGGATGTCTCGTTTCAACCATGGACACCAGGCCTGAATTGCATATTCAACTTGAGGTCGAATGTCGGAGTTAATCAACAATGGTACTAGCCGCCGCTCAAAAGTGCCGAGAGCTCGCCTTGAAAGTCTCAAGTTCAAGTTCGCTACACTTGCTGCTTTCGAACACTGGAGCGAATTTCCAAGACTCTCTTGCACGATTATACCTAGGTCGCGTTCAATAGTCACGTGTTGCATGACATGTTGCCCCGAAAAGTATGTGTGAACGAAGCTGTTGTGCACCGTCAGCAGGTGGCACTTTGCAGCGTTCAGTGGGAGCTGGTTCTTTTCTGCCCATTCGTTAATCCGGGTCAGATCTTCCTGGAGGTAGACATGGTCGGATGCTGAGCGAATAGCTCTCCATATTTTAGCGTCGTCTGCAAATATTTGCATTGGAGATAGAATGTCTGCTGGAAGGTCATTGAGGTAGACTAAAAATAGTAGCGGGCCGAGGACGGATCCTTGTGGAACACCACTGGAGACGTAAAGGCTTTCGGAATAGGTGTCGGCCACTCTTACCTTGATTGCTCTGTCGTGTAAGTAGTCTTCCAACCAGGTGAGCAGGGAACCGTTAATACCGTAGGCAGCAAGCTTTTGGAGAAGAAAGAAGTGCTTGACCCTGTCGAATGCTTTAGAAAAATCCAGGTATATCACATCTATGGGCACTCCTTCATCAGCCGCCCTGGTCCATAATTCCCGAGTAATCAGCGAATTGGTGAGACAAGATCGTCTGCGTCGGAACCCATGTGGGGCATTAGAAATTATCTGTTGACTTGCAAAGTATCGCGTCAGTCCATCTGCGATTACCGATTCCATAACTTTTGGCAAAACAGGAAGGAGAGTAATAGGTCGGTAGTTAGCAGCATCCGAACGCTTACCTCTTTTATATATTGGAGTGATAATTCCATTTTTCCACTCAGATGGGAGTGTATGGGTGTTAAGCAGACACTGGAAAAAGGTTGCAAGTGGTGTTGCTATGGTGGGAGCAAGCATTTTTAGTAATTTGGGCAGATCATGTCGATTCCAGGGGCACTGTACTCCCGGAGAGGCTGTAGTTTGCTTGCAACAGCTGCTGGAGTAAAGGTGACGCTGGATAAGCCAACGACATTTGTTGGGAGTTGATAGGGTGAAGGTTCCATGACATTAGTAGCTACAGAGCCAAACTGCAAGAGTAGAGCATTCGCGGCATCCAGAGCAGTAGTTGTTAGGCCACTTGCCATCGTGAGTGGTGGTATTCCGGGCTTCACCTTTCTTTTGCCATTCACAAATCTGTAGAGCAGTTTGGTGTTACTCGTAAATTTCAGCACCATATTCTCCTGCCATTCGTACTTACCGACTCTAATGAGTGACGTGCAGTAGTTTCTGATGACTTTGTAATCCTGCCATGTGATATCACATGGGCTTAGCAAATGTTGCCTCCAGCTTTCATCTCTTCTGTTGATCCATTTA